AGGTGGGCCAATGCAAACCTGATGAAATTAAACAAGGCCAAGTGCAAGCTCCTGAACGTGGGTCGAGGCAATCCCAAGCACAAATACAGGCTGGGAGGATAATGGATAGAGAAGCAGCTCTGAGGAGAAGGACGTGGGGGTATTGGTGGATGAGAAGCTCAACATGAGCCGGCAGTGTGCGCTTGCAGCCCAGAAAGCCAGCCATGTCCTGGGCTGCATCAAAAGAAGCATTAGCAGCAGGTCGAAGGAGGTGATCTTCCCCCCTCTACTCTGCTCTTGTGAAACCCCACCTGGAGTACTGTGTTCAGATGTAGGACCCCCAACATAAAACAGACATGGACCTGCTGGAGAGAGTCCAGAGGAGAGCCACGAAAATGGTCAGACGGCTGGAGCACCTCCCCTATGAGGACAGGCTGAGAGAATCGGGGTTATTCAGCCTGGAGAAAAGAAGGCTCCGAGGAGAGCTAATAGCAGCCTTCCAGTACTTTAAGGGGGCCTACAGGAGAGATGGGGAGGCACTCTTTATCAGGAAGTGTAGTTAGAGGACAAGGGGTAAGTTGTAAGCTGAAAGAGGGGAGATTTAGAGTAGATATTAGGAAGAAATTCTTTACTGTGAGGGTGGTGAGACAGTGGAACAGGTTGCCCAGGGAAGCTGTGGATGCCCCATCCCTGGAGGTGTTCAAGGCCAGTCTGAATGAGGCTTTGAGCAACCTGGTCTATTGGAATGTCCCCTTGCCCATGGCAGGGGGATTGGAACTTGATGATCTTTAAGGTCCTTTCCAACCCAAACCATTCTATGATTCTGTGATTCTATATGAGTTTTAAATGTGCCTGCATTTGCACCCACTGCCTAATTCAGGATAATCATAATGCACATTTCCATACAGCTTTACAATTATAGCATGCATTGGTGAATTCTGGGAGATAGGTGAGAAATTCCAGTGCAAGGCTGGTCAGGGGTTTCCCTCTCCCAGAATGTGTGGACATGTGAATGCATCTACAGTTCAAAGCTGTGCCCCTTCCAATTTCCTAGCTTCGTGCATATTGATATGGCAGCAGTTTGTTTCAGGTAACTGCCTTTATTTCAACTGCTTATTTGGTTAAAGAAAACCTGAATGGCTGTTTTGTTTGCTTTTGTAGAAATTCAAAGCTCAAGTTATCAGCTTCCTTTGGAACAACACACAGAACAAGGTAGGTGATACAACTGAAAATGTTAATTTTTCATATCAGCAGCAGGGTATTAAGTTTTATACCTCTGTTAAGGCAAGGTTATCAGTATCAGCAGTCTCATTTTCTAATAGGGTTTTCTTCTTGTCACTGACTGTTTAACACTGTTTTTGAAGCAATGTAATGCACATGAAAGACAGTAAGTAATGGTCTTAACATCTACCAGTCCCAAAGGGAATTGTAACACAAACTAGTGTGACTCCTCTGGTCGACTTCAGCCTTGACATGGTGAACCATTCTTGGCAAAGCTGGAGCTGTGACAAATAGCTCAATTCTTTTGTGGAGTATAGTAACACAGTGGTAATGTTGGACTATCAACACTGTGGGACTGGTGGAACCTAAGTATTTTAGTTTAAATAGAGCTCGGATATTTCTACATAAACTCCCCTCACAGCAGTAATGGGGTGTAGCATTCAGAATGTTTTCTATCAAGCCTAGATAATTGGTCTTGATAGTTTGTGTTGTATATATAAACTAAGGAAGTGAGAAAATGGCTCAGGAAATTAAATACTAGGGCCTGAGCAGTGAAGCCCTGAACCAAAGTTGACCTCTAGGTGAACCTCACAACCTAATGGTATGTCTAACGTGTATAACATTGATCACAAATGCAATGTATTGCCTTATTAATATATGCCAATTTATAAAAGCTTTGTTGAAACGTTTATAGAGCTTTGCTGTAAGGCTTGCTGTGTAAGGTTAGTCAGCAGAAAGATACTAATTGAGTTAACAGTAGCCAAAATCAAGCACGAATATGCCCTTTAGCCACAGATGGCAAAGGACTGTGGCAAGTTGTGACAAGCTTTGTTGAGAGATACCTAATCAAGGTTACTAGATTCTTTTATTCTTGTTATCTTGCCTCTCCTGCCCTGGCCATGCTTGAGATGGAAGTTCGCAACGAGAAAACCACATCAGATGTTTTTTTGCAGTTTGAGAGATAAAGCTGTTTATTCAACTGTGTAAAAGCAGGGAACATTTGCAGAGAAATTTGGAAGCTTCATCTATACGGTGGACGCACTGTGTAGAGTTTTCCCAATTGCTGGGAAGGGTTCTCCAAATCCTCGCTGCAACCAGGCCCCCTCAGCAACTGCAGATCTGGATGATGGTAGCATATTAATAGGGCAATTGGTGATGTATCTTTCTTAATCACTGTCACTGACTCTATGTGGTAATGTTCAGGTGCATTACCTTATTTTTTGCTTGCTATAGTAGTTCGCCTATTATTTTGCTGCTTCACCTTATCTTGCTTTAATTAGTTTTCCCTGTATTATTCTCCTCATTATTTTATCACTTTAAACATAAGTAAAAAGAAGTTTACTTCTTTAATTTGGTGCCTGTGTCCTTACTGCTAACCCCGTCAATTGGCAAAACAGGAAAACATTGTTATTTTAAAGTCTTTTTCAGCATCCATTGGGTAGTGAGTAGGCTCTTTGTATGTGGAGTTTACAGTAGGTAGCAATACCATGTACTGTGTTTGTGATTTTCTTTTTCTTTTTGATATATTGTAGGATGCTATTGTAGCTGTTTCGGCCTATAAATCACTCTCGTCATTTGGCTCTGAAGAGCATACAATTCTTCATCTTCCTGAACAGGTAGCGATGTTGTATGTTTAATAGGAATATGTGACACTTGCATCTGACATGGGCTATATCCACTTGGCAGGGAAACAAGGCCTTGTGCCAACTCTACCAGACAACAATCAGAGCCCCACAGAGGGAATATGAGCTCCCACTGGTGAAATGGGATATTATGTATGATTAGCATAAATAAGACTTATGAGAGGGGAAAGGCACAAATGGAGGCTGAGGGATGTCTAAGCAGTCAGAACGTAGTTTTTCTTCTTTCATTAGTTAAATCAGCAGGTTATTTTTTGGGCATTGGATTTGCATTTTATGCTCTTCTGTTAATGTTTGCGGTTGAGTCTTTACATTAAGCATCTCTTGTGATTGCTGCTTCATCCATTGCAGTCACACTCATGCTTAGTACTTTTGTTCCTGAAATGGGCAAGTCGGTTTGAAAAGTAGGTGCTGTATTTGGAATTAAGCTGAAAATTCTTCCTGTGTTTCTGTTCTGAACTTTTACAGCATACCATTTTGCTTTTTTTTTTTTGTTGTTGATAAAAGCAGCCAGAAAGGAATTGAGGTACTTATTGGAAAGCTTTTTAACTGTGTAGAAGGCTGTTAAACTGAAACTTCAGTCTGATCCGTTGTCTCAGTAACCTTACAAAATGGAAGAGTGCAAGGAGATGGACACATAAGGTCATCTATGTGACTTTTTTTTTTAACAATAACCTTGTAAAAGATACTAGGCAATAATCAGTAGTCCACTGGTACTTTATGGCATAGTAAATAATTCTGTATGGTTTTTTTACTGTGTTATTACAAGGTTGGCTTCATTTGCATGTTGTAACTGGCTATTATGAAAGGTTGGAATAAGAAACTTAAAAAACATACTTGCTTTATATAAATCAGTGAGAAGAGTTCTGCATAAACCTTTAAAATGAAAAATGTGTTTTGCATAGAAGAGCCCAAGATAGAATGTGGGAAGTCTCTAAATACTGCTGCAATACCAAATGTTTCATGGTAGTGCATAGCTCTATATTATTGGTGCTGTTACTTCACACTTGTTAGAAAATGAGTAAATGTTTTCACTAAAAGCATTGTAAATATGTTGCAGTTTCTCAAATTCTGAAAACTAGTATGGAAACATAACACCTAGCAGAAATGCTCAGTGTGTATTAAAGTGCCAATATAAAATATTATTTTACTCCAGTTGAAGAAGGATCAGAGTGAAAATTAAGTTTAGTAATATTAGCTCAGTCTATAAGTGTCAAGATTAATTTTAGTGTTACAGATATGGATTTACCTACCCATGTGATTTTTATCAACCAGTTTTGCCTTTCATTCAGGTGAAAGAAAAGCTTTTATACTTTCAGCTTCAAATTAATTAAATGCAGTGAAATTAATCAAGTGGGGAAGTTTTTGGTTGGTATTTCTGACATTTGGTTGACACTTGAAATCATGAAAGGTAAATAGGATTTTTTATTTTTGTGTTGACATTTCTTTTTTTTAAATCTTTCAGGCACAACCAGAAGTTGACTCACTGGAACAGGCAGACATGAATGAAGATGAAGAAGAGGAAAAGGAGGCAAATCTTTTTGTTCCAGGTTCTTCATATATCAAGCTGTTGTCTCTAACGCCATCTTCTGTTTTAGGAGGTATAATATATTCAGCATTGAGGTTACTTTGAAGATTTATAATCATAGTGACTGTACAGATAAGTGGCTTTCTTACAATGCAGTGTCATGTTCAAGTGTAGCATTTTTTCATCTTTTTTTAGTGGGAAAGTATCTTACCGAATGACAGGAAAAAATGTAAAGTAAGTTCAGAAGAAAACAAAACCCCCAACTCTTTTTTAGGAAGGCAGCAGTCAGAGGTCCCAATAGTGGAAAAAACGCTTACAATATAACTTAAAAATCCTTAAAAGTCCTACAGGAAAAGCGAGTTGCTTATTATTTACTTCAAGTGCCCATTGTTCCATCGCAGTGCAACTTCAATAGGGAGATTTGAGCAGACGTTTTTAAAGGCAGCTCTGTATTGTGGCCCAGCATGGACTGAAGAAAAAAAACACACCCAAAACCATAGTGCTTTATAAACAGAGTATTAATAGTAATGTAACAATGCTGTATACAAAATCTACTTAATCAATAAAGATATTAGTGCTATGCCTAATGCTTAATGTTAGTGTGATGTATATTGATACTGAAGGATGCTTCAACAGATGATCTTCTGATTGATGCACTTGTTTTGACATCTATGCAATTTAATAATTTGTGGTATTTGATGTTCCCTTGATTTGTGTTTAATGCTGTCTTTCACTTCCAGTTAAAAGATTGTGACATTAGTGCCTGGACACAGGCATTGTTATTTCACTGTTTGTAAAATGTCTGGGATCTTGGTGTGTAATTGCAACTGGTAAACGTTGCCATGAGATAGTAGTAGTACTTTGTAGTATTTTCTCCTAGCGGGGGCTGCTAGAAAGATCCATTCATTAACAGTTCCATGCATTGGGGTCTGGAATATGTGCAACCTCACCTGCAGAATCTGTATGCACTAACTAGTAAGTTCTGGAAGCTTTGTGGGGAAGAGTGACATAACGTACTTCAACAAAAGAGAATACTGTATTTGGGCAGAAAACTCAAGCTGTGTAATGGATGCTGAGATAGGCAACTTACCAGGAAGATGGGAAACCTAGAGAAAACAGACTGAGTAAAAAGATGCAGCTACCACAGACTGGTATAAAAGCATATCTGCACATAGCTTTTCTAACCCAAACGTTCCCTGAATAGATTCTCCCTTCAAGGAGTCTTTGTCTTCTAACACTGTTAGTTAAGACAGAATACAATTGAGCAAAAGCTTTGGTGATCAGCAGGAGTGGTTGTTTTGAGTTAATTGCTGCACTAGTGTGAAACAGGATTCATGAGACAATATCAAAGATAGGCCACAAAGTCTCTGTTCTAATGGAGCTTAATCTGTGTCATTTTATCTGCTGGATCCTGCTGTTCCATGTTACTGAGATTAATTCAGTACTTCCTTACTGCTTAGAAGGAGAAGGACTGAAACACTTTTTAAGAAGACAGTCTCTGTTTCTTGGAGTTTCACCTGAAGTCCTTGTTGGTGCACACTAAATCAACTGAAACTTCTAAAGGAAGTTTAGCTTGCTGCTTGTGAGATCTCCCTTCTTCTTGCTTTTCCTTGCTGATTCCTTAAACTCTGAATTTCTGCTTCTTTTTTCCTGCCTTCCTCTTCTTTAATACTTTCAGGAGCAGAAAAAGCTTTAGTTTTTTTTCAGACTTTGCATGCCTCTTCCCAAAGAGTTGAACATTTAGTGCTATGGTAGCTGCCATTAAAAGGTTTCAACCAGAAGGTGGGCATGGTGCTGACATTACTGTTGAATTGTGGGGGTTTTGTCTAAGCCCCAATGTCTAAAGCTTGCGAACAAATCTATATGGCCTATTTCTGCAGCAGAGCTGAGGAAAAATCAGGAAACAAAGTAAAAGTAGGCTTTCTATGGCAGTTGGTTGGAACATGCTGCAATTCCAGTTTACCACAGCTGTCTGCTTATGTGGAGCATTGGAAAATGAAGTTTTAGGTAGTGTTATCTCTCAAACTCATTTAAAGCCGATGTGTGATTTCAGTTTCCATATTGTGTGAAAGTGTTAAGAGTCCACAATATATCAGGAGGGGTACAACACCCTTATTATTTTCTATTTTAATAGTTTGTCATTCTGGTGAGATTTGTCTGAAACCTCGTAGTCAGACAATTTAAAATAATACCATATAACAAACTATAAACTTCAGACAACAGCTATTTATTGTTGTTGTTGTTATTATTGAGAGGTATATTTCTGCAGGAAGGATGCTAAGAATTTTGTTCCTGTGATGTTAGTTACCTCTTTTTTTCCTTCAACCTGATTCCAAGCATGATATTCCAAAAATGATATTTGCTGTGCATCTAGGCGTTTCATTAAATTTATCCAGATTTTTCTAGTTTGAGTTATATCTGGCAGCCTAGATCCTTGTGTTATCTCTTGCCAGAATAATTGCTTTTGAATGGCTTGTAAGTATTAAGTCCTTCAGCATAACCAGCAAGTGTAGTAATATGACAACAGTGGTATTACCTGGGCTAGGGTATCTCTCTGTTAATGTGGATGGTTACCAGCAGAGATAGAGCTGTCCTCTTTCAGATAATTTCTTCTCTATTGTTGTAGCCACCCTAAACAAAAAAGCTCTTAGAAAAGTCTAGAGCAGGTAGGTGGATAGTGTTTTGATGTCAGTAAATTTATTTTTGTTGGAAGAGTATATAATGTTGACGATTGAGGGCAAAGATTATAGTTTCTGTCTGAATCACTGTAGTGAAAACTGCTGTCTGTCTTCTGAGGTTTTTGTTTGAAGAATATTGGCATTACAGGTGGAGAAAAAAAAAAATCCCCAGATGTAGACACCCTTCCTTCCATGCCACAAAAACTTACAGATTCAGACTGCCACTGCATTATGAAGTGGGAAAGAGCATTGCTGAAAATCACAGGAACTTGCTGAAAATTGGAAATGTGAGAAAGTTCCAGTATAAAGCTACTTTATTCCAAGCTGCCATGGGTATTTCTTGGCCCCAGAAAGGATGAGTGAGTGCCCTTTTGTCTCCTTTGTCCTCTAGTTCCTTGTCAAAGCAGGACTGCCTGTGATTTGGGAACTAGCATGCCAAAGTTTTGAGCCTAGTGTGAAACAGTTATTATAAATCCCTTTAAAATTCAGTTGCGTAATGGAAGCGCTAACAGACTTTTAAACATACCAGGTTTGCTAGGTGCTGGTACAATGCTGGCTCTCAGTTTTGATGTGGTAACAAAAACCATGCAGTCGTATATATGTACGTACATACATGGTACGTCCAGAAGCACGGCCCTTTTTATCTAACAGGCACCTGTAAAGGCTGCTTCAGATTAACTTCATAAATGGACAGTAACTTTAATTCTGTATAATTTTAAACCTGTTTACACTATAAAATTCATAGCTTGAGAGCACAAAACTTAAACAATTTGTACTGCTACGGTAACAGAAATCGAAATAATTCTCTCTCTCTCTCTGTATCCCCTGTTTGCATATACAAGGTCTCTCTCCATGTACCCTCTTTGCATTATGCTTCTTTTAAATATATTTTAGAACAACCTGGTTTTAGAGACAATCTTGTTCACTTTCAGTTTTGTTTCTCATTGTCCTTCTCACAGCATGTGCTGATGTTATTGGTGTAGCAGTGAAAGAATGGAATCAACAGCTCATGGAACAGTTAAGGCTAATTTTCTTCCCAGCCTTAGTATCTGACATGACTTAACTCAGAGCCTCTTGAAGTTGCAGTGGCAGCAAGTACAGTGCCAGAGACTTGCTAAGAGTTCACAATTCTTTGGCTTTGAGCTTTCATCTGAATGTGTCATTACTAGTTTATGTAAGCATATCTCCCTTGAAGCACAGGTGTCATTCTGGGTTTTTCAAGGTTTGTGTGGTCTCTGAGTTGTCAGGTTCCGACATTCCTCTCTCCTCATTTTCTTGCACTTCATCCAGCATTTGAAGAGTTTGCTGCATCACTTGTGAAACAGGAGATGACCAACATGCCCCGTGGTGTGTATCATTCTGCCTTGAGAGGAGGGATCACACGCTCAGACCAGGGGAAGACCGTGGCAGGTGTTCCAAACTTCTTGCTGAAAATGTACGAGAGGAACAAACAACCAGGCATGACGCCAGGCCTTGCAGGTAAGCTGTCACTTTCTTGATGTTAGACGAGTGTACATGCTTTGGCCCAAAGATTTCTACGAATCTGGGAGTTAGTCAGTTTGAGAAACAATGATGGCTTATGCTTCTTGCATGTGCTTACATATGCTTTTACATTGTTGGCTTTATTAAGTGTACTTTGCTTTGAGTTCTCCACTGACTTATGCAAGACTTCTGAAATATGAGCTTGAGTATTGACCTTTCTTTTCCTTTTCCCTCCCTTTTTAAGCTGGTATGTTGTTGTGCTATGACCTTCCAGTCCATATGGGCAAAGATGGCAAGCCTATTAATCGATTTCTGGCCAGCAGGGGACGCAATTTCCAGCAAATGTTGGTAGCCCTCATTCACGAGGTATGTCACTGTCTTCCCTTTTTGGAAGTATTACGCTTCCTTCCCTGCCCTACTACTCATTTGTTTATGCTAATTAGGAATTAATATCACCTAGTAATGATATATATGAATGTATCATAATTAACTTAAATTGCTCTGAGGGACAACTAACTTGAATTGAACTTGTAAATACTTTTTTTAAAGTGCTCGTGGCTGAAGTACCTCGTCTGAAAATCAGTAAAACAAACAGAAGCTGACCTTTGCCTTTGTCTGCTGCGCAGACTCTTCTGCCTGCTTTATGCCTGTTGTGTGTAATGAGTTGTAGGTGAATAGCAGGTCTGAACAATGGTGGGACTCTGTATGGAAATGACATCTACACCTTGCTAGGACTTGCTATTCTATTCTGCCTCTTAAATGTTTCAGCTGCCTGACCTATTAGGCTTATACTGCTGAAACCATGCAGTTACCTTTGGTGTGGTTTTGAAAGAGGGGCATAAAATAAGCCCCCACTTAATTATTATAGAAAATAAAGTGCTTGTAACAAAATCTTTCAGAGAGTTTAGAATTGTGGTACTTCTGTAGTTGATGTGAAGACTGATCTTTGAAAATTTCAGAGAGCAGTAAAACAAAATAAGTAGTTAAACTGGATCTAGGGGAATAAGTGTTCCTTTCCCAATTTTATGCCAATGAGATCAGTGACTAACACAAATGAAAGTGTATTAATCTCTTCAAAAGTTCATAAAATAATGCTGTTGATACGATAATTTTGTACTGATGCAGAGATTAATTACATGCATCTGAGGGTGAAGTTTCTGCTCACAAGTCATAAATAAGAGTGTATGAATTACATCAGTATGAAATGAGCAAGAGAGCATAGAGGGTGTCGCAACCCAGCTCATAAAACCACCCTGGGTGGGATGAGTGGGGTTCATGGAGATTCTGTGTATTCCCTTGGGGCAAATTAAGGTGAGACGACACCAAACAATTGAACACTGGCTTATAACTTTAATGCATATAATTGTTTGGGGGAAAAGGGAAATGTAAGGTATAAAATGTGGAATGAAACAATTAGAGAAAAAATTACTTGGTAAAGACAACTCATGACAACACTACCAACAGCCAACGATACCAAATCTAACAGCACAACTTCCAACAATACTAAGAAACCCGCAACTGCTCATACAACTTGTAATCACTTAACCCACAACCATTCACAACACTTGCAATCACTTTTCAGTACTAAAATGAACAACCTACAGAAAACCTGCTACACAAGCCCCAAAAGGAGCTGGCATAAAACTTATAAGGTGTTACCTTAAGTGCCAGAGAGAGAGAGAGGTCAAGAGATGCTTGAAGAGAAAAAGAAAGGAAAAGGAGAGAAGAGAGAGAAAAGTTTTCCCCACTCTTCGGATCCTTGGAGATGAGCGTGGACATCTTGGGGGAGGGGGGTTGCTCGACCAGTCTCAGGAGTCCTCAGGTGGTGGGTGCAAGCCCCTTCTCTTTGTTTATTCACCTTTTTATAGACAAAAGTTCTCAGATTTCCCCCTAACTTTCTTCAATTAGCATAGGAAGCATGAGGTGTCTCCCCAATTAGCATAGGAAGCGGAGAGGGGTGTCTCCGTAATTAACATGGGGAGAACCATCTTTCTGTGCATGTGCAAGAGGGGGAAGGGTAGCATTAACCCTTTCACCCAATTGACTCAGTGGTTGTGTGGACGCTGTATTAGATTAACTTTGGCCTTCTTGGCACCTTTGAGCTAGAGACAGCGGCCTTACTCAGCAAGGGTTTGCTACTTTGTTGTAAGAGCAAGACTAGGTCCTTTATTAATGAAGGGAGTAAAGCCTTTGGTGCATTCTTTGCTTCTTCTTATCAGCAAGGGGTAGGACTAGGAGTCTAGAAGCTAAATGCTTTCAGACATCATAAGGCCTTGCCTCATCAGGGACTTGATAGGCAGATGCAGTTTTCTTGTAAAACTGCATGAATAGTCCATTACAGATGGTGATAAAAAAACTTCTAAAAAATTTAGGTTGAGTCTTAAGCAGTGTGTCCAGAGATGAAAACAATGTATGAATGTCTGGACATTTTAAAGATGTATTTTTTTTTCCACCCCACAGCAATACCAATTCCTGTTCTACTTTTCCATTATAGGAAAGCTTGAATGGTCCCATTACTTCTTCTTTCTCTGTCCCATGTACAGGCTGTTAGGTGCTATTAAAGAAAATATGATTGTATGCCATTTTGTACAGAGGAGCTTTTTTTTTCAGACCACAGGATGGATCGTGTGTTGACAGTGAACCAGAACTGTGTAACAAAAGGAGGTGTTTTACCGGACACTCATACTATACTTGTTGCAGAAATTGGAAGAAGTAGGATTAATATGTAATGGGTTGTAACTGGGAATGTGTCTGGGTCCTGATTCTGGTTTGTGACTGACCCCCAACGGACCTGGAGCCTGCCTGCTGCAAAATTCCATTATGATGCTAATAAAATCACTGACACCGAACACTTTCTCTTATGAAATAAGCATAGCAAAGGGTTGGGTGGGAAGGTTGTGTGCACAGGGTTTGGAGAGTTTTCTGTTTCCAAACTGAAAACCTGACACAGAGCATAGGGGTCTGCAGCGGAAAATGCATGGGGGCTATGTTCTGATCCTGTGATACACCTGCATGGCTCCCTCCTGGCCTTGCTCTCAGGTCCTGCTCCCCGCTTGTTCACATTGCGTTTGTACTGGTTCACTCCCTCTGTCTCTTTGGAGCAAATGGAATAGTTCCATCTCTAGCAAACCTCTGCAGCATAGTTTGCCTGAAGTTCCCAGTCAAGCCATGTGAATTAGTAACCATGCTGAAATTGGCTGCTTCTACCTAGTGCAGTCTTCCAGCTCTGTACCATCTCTCAAAAGTTTCCAAATGCTACCATACACATAAAATTTTTACCTATCATACATCATTTTATTGTTTTGGTCTTTCTGAACTGAAAAGCCACAAAAAAATTGTGGCCACAGAGACACCGCATGGATCCCAGTAGAAGTTAGGCCAGGTGGTGCAAGAATGAAAGCCAGTCTGCACCACTTGTACCGGCATGTAGAACTCTCTCCCTGGTGCTGTGTTATGAAGGCAGTGTCAGTGGGGTTATGAAGTACCTCAGATGGCAAGTTCTCTCAAACAAGTAAAAACAAAAAACAAAAACCACCCTTAACCACATATCTCAAGGTATCTAATCATGTATACAAATTTAATAGATATTTTTCATCTTGACATCTTTACTACCAAAGAATGAAAGCAGAACCTGGAGATTATAACCCTCATCATCACAGGAGTGTGCAAGTAAATTAATGAATGTTTTCTGACTACTTGGATTCTGCAGTGGCAAGGACCAGGGGAAGTCCACAAGGATATTACAAAATATGTCAGAGGAGCACATTTAGAGTAATGAGTTATGAATGAAGTATGGGCTTGTGTAGCATCCAGAAAGAAAAGCTCTGCCCTCTATGTAGTTGTTTCATTCAGTGGGACCGGGGGTCAGTGCCAGAGGTTCTAGAGAAAAACATATTTAATTATATTATTATAAAAGGCATGTACTAAATTGTAATACAAACTGAATTGTAGTGGGATGAAGATCAGTTCTCAACTACCATGTTGTAAACAGTTGCGTGTTGCCCTCCTAAAGCACAAAATACAATCTCTGGTAAAAAAATTATTTATTTGTATGTACTAGCAGTGATTATAACATCCAGCAGCACATCCAAAATGGACTTTTCTTGTGCTAACAGGCTGCCTTCTTAGAAACACAACCTTAAAATGGTTTGCTTGACAAAGTGTGAGTTTTTTCTTGAATGTAGTGAACTGGATGGAGTTAGTGAATACATACTGGTGTCTCGAGACGGAAATGTTAAGTATCTCAGTATTTTACGAAGTCAATTGATTCAGGGTGTAGTAAAACTAAAAATAAAGCCAAGTGCATTTGAAATATAAACCTAAACACAAAACATCTTCAGACAATCCTAACGGCACCCTTTTAGTGAAAATTCACAGTAACTATAAAATTTTGATCAAAATATATCAGTATTTCTGTTCTCAGCTTTCATTGCTTTAAAAGACAAAAAAGGGTTCTTTGCCTTTTTGTCCCTTGTACATAGAAACATTTGGAGCTAGGGTTGTCAGGAAAATGCTATTTGGGGCTTTGACTAGGAGAGAAGTGAGTCCCTGGGCTCATCTGACTGAATTTCATGCATTAGTGTTTGTTTAGTCTTCAGTGTTGTTCTGGGAAGCAGAGTTTAACAATAAAAACAGGGAACTTAAGCTATAAAGCTATCAAAAAACAATATTGATCTAAGAAAATTGAGTGAGTAGGACCTAGGCTCATCTTTTCCCTGCAGTGGCTGTAGGAGTTAATGTGGTTTTGCAAAGTCGTTGCTTCAGAGTTCAACACAACACGTTAAGGATTTTTTTTAGGGTTTTAAATTGCCAGAATGACACTTCTGTGATACTGCTTTGACTCCTTTATATCTTGGGGTGGGTTTTTTTACCTCTTATAGTGACTTTGTAAGTAATGTAAGAAGTTTTTTGTTAAAAAGACAACTTCAAGTTCCCTTTGAAGTATTGCAGTCTGAGAAAACTGTGAGGTGGATGTAAACACCAAGAAATTACAATTAATTGGGAGATAGAAAGCATCCATTTATTTTATCTGTAAAAATCCCTAGCAGTTGGCATTTCCTTAGTTAGGGAGTAGCAGTCATCAATATAATTGCCATGCTGGGATAATAATGTTTTGATTTCTTCAGTGATTTGATCAATGCTTACATCTGTAGGATATGAACTTAGAGGTTGTATGTCTGTTTGTATGTTTGTGTGCTTAGTTGCCATTATTATACTTACTTTTTTTTGAAAACTGGAGCATGGGGAGTGGCTTGAGGCAACTAGGTGCATTTTTGTGAGATTCCTTGTGTGTAGAAGTATGATGCCTGAGATTCTGCTACCAAAAAAACCATGTTACACAAAGTTTGTATGCAGAGAAAAGAATT